CAGCGCGTTACAATGATGAGCGAAAAGCTCCATGTATTGCGTGTAATCACATCCATACAGTTTATGATCACAACAACAACAATGTTTGTCAGGCGTCTACATTGTCATCTTAGGAGATTACAAGTGCTTTTTAAACTCTAAAACATGAAATGTGGAGTTATCTGCTTTTGCCAAAAAAATTACTGTTGGAGTTATCTGCTTTTGCTATAAAAACAAACTTTTAATATGTAAAAAAAACATACTTTCAATGAACTTTAATTTTGTAAATTACCTGTATTTGTTTAAGTTATTATTACTTAATCAAAACAACCCTGCTGCAGTTTGATTGATATTACTTGAAATGCGCAATAAAAAAACATGATTTCTGGAAAAAAAAAAAAAAAATCGGTTATTTATCAGTTTTTGCAAATGAACTCTTCATATTATATATATATATATAAGTTGCATTAAGTTTATGTGCTCTCAACTCAATATTCTTTTAGATTCTGGTTCTTAACAAACTTTTATTTTGGAGTATTCGTTTTTAAGGCCCTGTATGGTTCAGTTGCAGAAATATGGGGAACTGAAAATGAGTACAATTTAACAATTTGCTGATTGGGGCCAAATTTCTTCAATATCTCTGGATTGGAAAAATATAGAGCCTTAAAAATGAAGATAACTAAATAAAAGTTTAAGAAGCAAAATCTAAAAGGGCATTAAAATATATTAATACTTCTTGAGTTACAGCCATGCAAACTTTGGAGGAAAAAAACTCTTTTTTTTTGTGCTTTTTTTTTTTTGGTTACATTTTTGAACTTTCACCATTGGCTCATAAATGCAACAAATCAATCTCTGTGTGAAAATAACATAATGATGCTGCTTTCTAAAGTCATTTTTACCCCCCTATAATTTGGCTCTGAATCTCAAGTGAAAATTGTCATTTTGACCCCCCCCTCTACAAAATAGTGGATTACTCAGTTAATATACATCCGTGACATTTAATATTTTGGCTTTCCTCGCTGTTTATGTTTGTTTTTCTTCAGAAAAAATATGAACAAAATAAAAAATTTTTTTAGCATTATAAATGTCTTTAATGTCACTTTTGATCAATTTAATGGACTAAAAAGTATTTCTTTCTTGCTGTTTAATATACGTTTCTTATGTTTTTGTTGCTGTTCTGTGTAAGGTGTCAGTGGCAGGTGGAGGCTAATGGTGCGATCTCTCCTGCCCTCACACCGTCTCCGTCTCCTCTGCCTCTCACCATCGATGAGGAGCGAGAGTTCACCTATCCTTCAGACGTCCTCATGCCGGGGGCTTGCTGTGAGCTCCCCCGCATCCATTTACCCCCGGGCATTATGGGCCGCCTGAGGGAGCTGTCTGGGAGAGGCCGGCCTCAGTTTCGCCCCAGCATCAAGTGAGCACATGATATGGAGACTTCATATGAGGGGAATGTAATTTAATGATAGCAGAACATTTAACCGTAATCAGAAATGCGTCCTGCAATGTACGGCGGAATAGAAATCCCACTCCCACTAGGAAGGAGGCAGTTATCGGTTTATTCATTTAAAAATAAAAATATAAATAAAACACTTTACAAATTGACTAAGACATTGACATATTTAAAAAAAAATAATTCAAAAATGAAGTTAAACAATAAAAAAAAGTACATATTTCGTGTACACGTAGTTGCTTCCATATGATGAACTGCAAAATTTAATTAAGTTGAAATTGTAGATTTATTTAAATAAATAAAAACAGTACTATATATATATATATATATATATATATATATATATATATATATATTATTTATAT